ATAACATTCATCTTTTGAGATATACGAATATAAGGTATATACAAGTATATGTATATACACACATACACATACACACATATATACATACACAATGATTTATTATATGTTTTGTAATTTTAAAAATGTAACTCATAACATGAATATCTCTATATATAAATAAATATTTGCAACTTCATGAGTTATAATGGTTTCATGATGCTACATCATGTGGATTTAACGTAATTTACTGAATCTGTGGCCTATTTTTGAACATTCAGTTTCTTTCCTGTTGTAAAAGTCTAGCAAACAATGTTGTATTGAATAGCTGTGCGTATTTATCTTTGTATTTAATTGATCATTTCCTTTGCACATATTCCAAGAGGTGAGATTGCAGTGCATGTATATTCTTGAAACTTCTGGCATACTTTGTAAAATTGATTTTCTTCTGCCAGCATTGTATTTGAGTGCCTGCTTTCACCACACTTCAAGTACTAAGATTTTCTTTATGTTTATCATCTCATTATGAAAGGACTTTTAGGTTTTACTTCACCCACCTTTTAAGGATTTTCATCACTTCTGTGCTATCCTGAGTTCTTTAAATCTTCGTCTTTGAGTTGACCTACTTGCTCTTAGCATCCTCTCCAAGAAGGCTATCATGGCTTCTTATGTGAGAGCTATAAACAAACAAACAAGCAAAAGACCCTCACTACTATTGCGTCAATTGAAACTCATTGTTGTTGTTAGGTAACATCATGTCATTTCTGACCCAAAGCAGCAACCTTATGTTCAAAAGAATGACACATTGCCAGGTCCTGCACCATCCTCACAGTCATTCCTGTGCTTGAGCCATGGCTGCAGGCACTGTGGCAGTCCTCCTCATCCGTCCGCCTTCTTCTCCTTTGCTATCCCCAAACATGATGTCCTTCTCCAGGGACTGGTCTATCCTGATAACATGTCCAAACTATGCAAGATGAAGTCTCACCATCCTTGCCTCTAAGAAGCACTCTGGCCATCCTTCTTCCAAGACAGATTTGTTTGTTCTTTTGTCAGTTCATGGTACTTCAATATTCTTCTCCAGCACCACAATTAAATGCATCAATTCTTCAAGTTTCCTTATTCAGTGTCCAACTTTCAAATGCATATGAGCTGAGTGAAAATACTATGACTCCTTGAAATCTACTCCAGGGATTTTTATAAATTAGACAAGTTTGAAAACATCTGCCTTGAGATATAAGTAAGTGTATGAAGAAGGGAAAATAATTATAGGCAATAGGTGAGAAATATGCATTCCAACAACGTGTGACAACAACTCACATCCAATGGTAGGCTCATTGGGAAAGCTGTGGAAATTAAAAAGTTGCAAAGGGATACCCAGATTGTACAGTGGTCTCATGA